ACAATGACAGAACACTCTACTGTCACTCACAGGAGTGGGATGGGATGGCAGCTGCTCTTCTAAGTCCCCTCGCTCTTGCTCATACACCGCTCTATTGCACACCTGTGCTCAAGTGTGATATTCTGGTTTGTTTACCCAACTGGCAGTGAGTTAGCATGCAAAGCATTTGCCTGACTCCTCTCTCGTCTCTCACTGTTTAGTGTTGTGGCTACACAGGGGACACGTTCCATCACTCTCACTGAAATCAGCCCTGTCACAGAGGTGGCTGGCAGCTTGGTTTCTGAGTGTGTTTATGGGGTGGTGTAAATATATAGATTTAGGGGTCTAGTGTTTAAGGCCTTAGTGACATGATAATGAGGTCCAGTCCCCTAGTCCAGGCTCCAACCTTCACAGAACACACGAAAACGAAGGAGTGGCTGTCTCTGTGTCAGACCCTATGAGAGTGACTATTCTCAGAACTGCTCAAGGCCATCCCCAAATATCTGCCAGAGCCTGCAGGCATCCTGTCACCTTGGGTTTGTTTTGGGAGGAAATTGGAATCCATCTACAGGTAAAAGATGGGCTGGGTTTGCAAGCATGTTTTGAGGAGTTGTATTGCTTTTTAAGGTGCAAATGTCCTGAGCAAAGTTTCCCCACTAACCTCAGTTACCCTTGAAACCGATTGTGAAAGAAACCTTTGTTCCTTTCCCCTGACACCTAGATGTATCTTGATTTCTGAATGTTCAAATTCCGCCATGCTCTGATCGCGTGTATACACTGCATCTGTGACTGTGCACTGCCTCTCCCCATTTTGCATGGAGGTAGGGTGGGGCACAAAGCTAGTTCCCAAGCATACTAGGTGGAGCTCGTTCCCCAGATCCTCCTTTTCATGGTAGTAACTGCCATGGTGATGGTGTTAACAACGCCTTCCATGGACTGGACTGATGGAAGATGCCCAGTGCTTTTCCCACCTTAGCGGCTTACACCTCCCGCCATTCCTCTGAGGTTGGGTCTGTCATTGTCTCTGTCTTACAGATGAGCAAAGCAAGGCTGCACACAACACGACCAATGTGTGTGTTGGGTCCTGGATGTGAACCCACTGATTTCTGCTCTCAGGCCCTGACCCTTACCGACACACCCCAGGCCTCCAAGGGCACAGGGAAGCAGCGTGAGTCAGTCACCATGGACTCCTGCCTGACATGCATCCCCACACCAGTGTTGGGGCTGTGGTCGCATTACTTCACCCATTTAAGCCTGGCCTGCCTGCTTGTGAAAAGGCCAAAATGTGTTCATGACCCTGGAATACACACCCCGTGATGTACATAGATTCCTTTCCCTCCATGGGATCTGACCTCCAGAGAGCTGAGAAGCATGTCTCAATGACATGGTTCCCAGAAGCCACAGCCCTGTGTACACAAAATATTGGACAATGATATGATGTTCTTTACTTCCTGGTCCCTTTCTACTATGCTCGAGCAAAGGATTCAGACCTAACCTAGTAAGCTGTGAATCCTTAGTAGCTAGCTCGATCACTTCATCAGACATGAGGCAAGGACACACATCACATGCATCTCTCTGTGCCAGGGTCAGGGTGGGATGGTTTCACCCCCAGGACTTCAAAAGTGCTCTTTAGCCATGCCTCCTCCTATTGTGACAGACCCAGAGACACTGTGAAAAGGACAGTGTTGTCTTTGGCCGGGTCCTGGGGCTGGCTAAGACATCCATTTCTTTTGAATTTGGAGCATGAATCACGTTGATGGACAGAAAATGCTGAACAGAGATGCGTTTCTCCTTTCTCCCTCTCTACCTTGCTTTCTGCTTTTTAAAATTCACATTTCATTGTGTTGGTTTCACTTGGCATTTAGAAAAATTACAGAATAAAAGAATTGACTTGAAACAAATACACAACTACTTACACAGAGGATACAGGATGGTCAGTCAATGCACACAGGTATGTGGTGCATTCTGTCCTGGGCATGCTTTCGGGTTTTTAAGAGCGGGAGAGTGATGATTCGGAAGGCAGGCCGGGTAGGGCACTGGTGCAAGCAAGGAAGCCGGTGAGGTGCTCAGAGTCCTGCAGTCACCGCTGCCATCAAGGATGTGCAGCAGAGGCTGCAACCCCACATGCAGAACACAAGGGGGAGAGGCAGCTCCACTCAGAGCACAGAGGCTGACTCCACACTACCTCTCCACTGCTCCACACCTCACCCATGGCCAAGGTGGTACTAATAAAGTTTTTGTTGAAAGCCTGCTGTGAATGTTTGACTTCAGACCCACCTGTGCCTTTTCCTCCTTCTGTGAAGCAGTTGACTCCAGGGACTGAGTGACCAAGAGCAAACAAATAATGGCCATGGCTTCTTTCTTCTACTTTCTTCCCAGGGGACAGAAGGGCAGAGGCAGATTAGAAGAGGACTCTTACAAAGGAGGTTGCTTTGAGACACAGACACAGAGCTGGCAGCAAAGGGTGGGCTAGCCTCCCAGGCACTCGAGGCAGGGAAATGACTTGAAAACAGATGAGATTGCAGGGCCTCCTGGTGCGGGTACCTTCCTACTGCTGGGTCTTGCTTTATTTACCTGAGTGAGGGTATTTATGTGCCATCTTTAAGCAGGCGCTCTAGATTAAAGGCTTTCAGGATCAAAGTGGCTGTGGTCAGACAGGGCCCAAAAGCAAAAGCCTCCTCTGAGACTAGTGGAGAGGAAGTCAGCCCACCCATGAGCCTCGGGTTAAGGGGAGATGTGCTACAGTAAACAAAATCAGAATTAAAGGTACTAATTCCATACTACAAGGCAAGGATGCATGATCAACTGGTTTTTGGTTATTCAAAAGTTGCCTGAAGGGCAAGGCACAATTTGAAGTTGTGAACTGCATCGCTGTTTTCACAGGAGCTGGCATTTATTGACTACCTACTGTTTATGTAGTTTATTTTGGCTAGCACCATCCTGGAGCTGGGGTGTGGGGAGGGGGGAGACGAGCTTGTGAGAAGCCTTGGCTGTTCATTCATGCATGTGGGGTGCAAAGAAGATGAAATCACTCCCTGGGGGGGCAGACAGGCGGCTCAGGGTCCTCTCTAGCCCCACTCTCACCTACATACACGTGCCCAGACGAGGAAGGAAGAGATACGTGGTTTGCAGGGCCTGACATCAGGCGTTTCCCGTTCCAGTATGGAACTAGGGCGTGTCCCGTAAGGAACAGAGTCAAGGGCAGAGGAACCCTTACCTTCCTCAGGGCAGGCCCTAGGTCCCCAGGGGTGAAAGGATTCCCATTTCTGCAGTCTTGACAGCAGAGAGACATGAGCAAATCCAGTCATATGTCCATTGATTCATGAATTCCTATAACCTCCAGCAAGACACAGGCCCCAACCAGCCAGGCAGGTTGTCTTCTCTCATAAGGGGAAAGGGTATGAATTCACACTCTAGTAAGAATAACAGACACTTCACAAGGAGATGAGACAAGTTACCAAAAATTATTAGTACCCAGAAGAGGGGCAGATGTGCTGGGGCAGATAGGGAGCGGAGATGGAGGCGGGCGGCCAGCCAAGGCTCCTCTGGGGAGGTGAAGGCTGGCAAGCTCTTCCTAGGCAGAGGGAAATACAACATGAAAGGCCACAGAGCAGTTTTGCAGGGCTGGCAAACAGGAAGAGCCTCCATCAGGCCCCGCACAGCTGGTCTTGGGTGATGTCTTAAGCTGCTTTTCACCAGCTTCACAGGGACTCAGTCCTACAGCCCCTAAAACTGTGGAAGTGGCCTGGGAGGGGAGGTTGGCAGGAATCTGTATATCTGACAAGTACTAGGTGATCCCCAATGCCCCTGACCCTACCCTCATCTTACTCCAGCAGATGGTGACATGGGGTTAATGACCAGAATCCCAGATTCCAGCTCATTTTTATCCCATTAACTGGGCATTTATGATTCGGTCAAGGCCAGAGTCAAATTGCAGCAGCAGCAGTACCAGCAACCAGAGGCCCCAGGAATGAGTTAGCACAAATAACACAGAGATGTTCTATGGTTTACTGAAGGCCACACAGCAAATTAAATCCATCGCAGGGTCAGGCCAATTTGCAACCAAGTCCCATGAGTCCACTCTTGCGAACAGACTTCTTTAGTTTACTTGGTGAACAAACAACAGTAGATAAGATTTTAAGAAATTACTCATTAGGAGTTGCAGAGATGGCTCACCCATTAAGAACACCGGGTGCTTTCCCTAGATTCAATTCCCGGCACTCATATGGTGGTTCACAGCTATCTGTACCTCCAGTCCTAGAGGATCTAATGACTTCTTCTTCTTCTTCTTCTCCTTCACCTTCCCTTCTCCTCACCCTCCTCCTTCTCCTCCTTCTACTTCTCTTCGTCCTCCTCCTCCTCGTTCTCCTTCCTTCCTTCCTTCCGTCCGTCCTTCCTTCCTTCCTCCAAGGACACCAGACATGCACATTATGCACAGACACACAAACAGGTAAAACATCCATATAAATGAAAATGAATGAATGAATAAATAAATAAACAAACAAATAAAAGGCCTCATTAAATGCACTGCTTTGCTTCATGTCCCCTCCTGGTATGCCCTTTAAAGAGAATTACTACTACAAATTCACAGAAGAAAGGAAAGAAATAAGACTCATTGCTATAAGAGCCGTGCGCATATAATCCAGTCTATAGCAGAGCCATGCTTGATTAACTTTTTTTTACCACAATGAGGAACCAGGAGGAAAAGTTGTGCAAGTAAGCCATGGGAGTCTGAAAAATAATTCTGTTTGAATGTTAGAAAAGACTGCATATTTTTCTAATTAGGGGTGATGGCAGTAGCAGCCAGTATCTAGTACAAGTTAAGGAAAATAATAGCTTTGGGGCTGATTGTAGGGCCCACCCTGTCTAACTCTGTCTGCCACTCTCTTTAGAGGCAAAAGGAGACTGCCCTCTACCCTGTGACCACCAGGGAGACACATTTAGGGCAGGCCTTATGGTCCCCAAGGTTGGAAGAGAGCGCCCCCTGCCTCCTGGCACCTCATAACAAAAACAGAGAGAAATTCATAAATACATCCATTTATTTGTTCTTAAGCAAATAATAGATTTGCTGTAGCAAAACTCTGGGAACATGGGCTAATAGGGGGTTAAATTGGTTAATTTTCACATGAATTTGTCTGGAAAGGTTTTTTATTTTTTAATGTTTAGTTGTGCCATGCACAAAAAAGACCATAATTATACGCAATTAGGGCAACGCCTAAAAAACTGGGCCAAGTAGACCCACTCTAAACCTGATGCCTGTGCCCTTGGCATGTGCCCCAGAGCTAAGCAAAAGGTATTGGGAATCAGATGGATGCTGAGAATGTTTAACCAACTGAATGCTACAAAAACATTTTCAAGAATCAGACAATATCTAATGTTTGTGTGTAAACCATGGTGTTAATTGCAAGAGATTCTTACCAGCTCAATGGGGCTCTTAAGAAGAGCCATGCAGGAACACTTTATTAGCCATTGTGCAGACCTAGTTTTGATAGAGAATGGTACAGTGGTTATCTCTTGAAAAACCCCGTCCATCTCTGGCCCTTCTGTTCAGTGCTAGCGCCATAATGATCTGCACTGGTATCTGATGCAGGTCTGTGGAACGTATCTTCCAGCTCAGATGTTCAAGAGTTTGGCTGTCAGCTGTCCTAGTTTTCAGCAGTGGTTTCATGAATCAGGTAGCTCTTCTCCCCATCTTCAGGGTCTTCTGTAACATACTCTTGGCATTTGACAGATCTAGAAACACCCAGCAGAAAGCCTGGTGGCTTGCACTGAAAATCACCATTAGCATCTTTATTCTTTGGTCTTTTACTCATTCTAAAGTGCCTAGCCTGTTTACAAGAGTCAAGAAGACCCTGAGGTCATCTTTGGGCTGTGGACAGGAAGCAGAAGAGAAGGCAAAGTTGTGTTTGACCTTGGCCTTTCGGATATGCAGTGCCCGAGGCAAATCACATCTTTGAGAGCTATAAACGATTCCCCAGTCACCTGGAAGAGAACACCAACATCAACAGAGCACCTTCTCCCAGTGTTCATCAAAAGCGTTCATCGCTAGGTGTCTAAATTGTACAAACACTTCACAATGTCATCTGATTTCCTTTAGCCATTCCAAAGCCCCACTATAGTGGAGGAGGGGAATGGAAGTTCAGAGAAGTTTAGGCACTTTCTCCAAGGTCACACTGCAGAAGGAGGCAGAGCAGATGGGAGATGCAAACTGAGGTCTGTGTGACTGTACCACAGCACCAAGCCCTGCCATGCTTGTGAGCCTCCAATCCAATATGGAGGTGAAGGAGCATGAATGGGCCTACATGGGGGTACGGTGATCTATTCTGGGGTCTGTCTCTGAATATATGACAAAACCTGTCTGGACAGAGGGAAACTGACTCCAGGAGAAGAAGAGGGAGGGGATCATAGCATGGGCAATTGTTAGTGGTGAGGGGACAGAATGTAACTGAAATTATATTACATGAATTCCAACTGGGCACAGCTAAGAGTAGGAGCCTACCAAGAGAAATGGCAAGGAGACCCATGTGACTGCCTCTGTCTTCACGTCCCTGAGCCTTGAGGTATCAATAGTAGGACACACATTTCATTCATTTTGTTTTGCCCAAACCAACATAACATCTGGACTAGAGATAAGGGGGAACACACTTACTAATTAGACTGGTGAGCCAAAGGTTTGTGAGAAGAATTCACAAGCCTTCTGCATGAGAACCTTCAACTGTGAAAAGGGGCAACAGGGTGTCATTTGACCAACAGAAGGCAAGGAGGAATCTATACATGTGAGTGGGTGGTCTGTATGTGAAACACAGAGAGAACATGTGGGTAAGGGGTAGAAATTCTTTCCTAAATTTGAACTGGAGAAATTTGAATCTGCTTTTTAAAACCTGTTTCAGAGGCGAACATACCCAGGATGAAGTCTCGGCTCCCACCCCACTGCCTGCGTGATTTGGACATGGCAGGTCATTGTTGCAGGCTTGAACTGCTTCTTCCATAGGATGGGGATAAAACCCAGAACATTCACTTGCCCGGGCAGCTGAAAGGGGTGCATGGACCAATACAGCCTATCACAGAGGTCTGGAGGCATTGAAAATTCAGACTGTTTTTGGTCCTCCTTGTCTACAAGCCTGTGTCCTGGTGAGGTCAGGACTCCGGGCTAGCAAAGGCACAAGGCCCCTCAGTCTTTGCCATTTGCCTACTTGCCAATACGTCCCCAATTGATAAACTACCAAGGCCATGCCCCATGTGTCACCTCAGAGTGCTTTCCGAAACTGTCTCCATGGGTTTTGCTTAGTGAGAGGCCAGATGGGACAGGAGAACATTTCAGAATGGCCATTGGCCTAGAAGAACATGACCTAAGCCGCCCTTTTCTCCACCTTCTTAAGCCTGGCATGCCCTGGAGACACCAGCTTGGCTCTCCAAGACACTTGCCTTCATGTGGCTCTATCCCAGCTTGGCCGAGTGACTCAGTTGGCTACCCTAACTTTCAATTCCTTTCACCCTGATGAGAATTTATCCCTGATTCAATAGATGCCAGGCACTTGATCCTTGGCAAGGGGCAGGCAGTCAGGCCACACCTATCAGCCAGCAGGGGTCTGACTTACAAGGGATTTTCAGGAAGCAGGAGGTAGGAGGCTGAGAGCCCATTCTCCCTCACCTACAGCTCCAGCTGTGATTCCATCTGGCAAATCCTGAGACAGAACACACACACACACACACACACACACACACACACACACACACACACACACACACACACACACACACACACACCCCTACCTCAAACAGAATGGAATGCAGCCAGTCTTACCTGGCACCCAGCTGTCTTCCTTTGTTAAACACAAAAAGTCCTGACAGCCAGCCATATGGGGGTGGGTGGTACTTGTTGCTCTTCCTCTGGGGTTCCTATGGGCACACTGATTTTTCAGTCTCTAAAAGGGCTTTTCTCTACTCTTCTGGAGTATCCCCCTCCAGCCTGCAGCGGAGACCCCGTGGTTTTAAATTGCTCCCTTCATTTTCAGCATCTCTCCCGTGGGGTCTCCCGTGGATGAGACCCTGAAGCTCATACTGGCAAGGAACAGTTGCCACACACGCAGTTAAGTATCCACTTCCCTGCCATCCATGGGGAAAGGGGGTCAAGTTCTTCCTCTGGGGGTGGCTCCCTACCTGGAGTAGTGGACCCCCAGCAGCTCCTCAAAAATAAAAAAAAGGTTAAAAACTTTCTCCATGTCCTCAGCCCCTGCTTCCCGCACAAGCCTCCCTTCCTTCCCTTAGCAGCCTCGCGGGAAGGCAGGCCAGGCCAGGGAGACAGGCTCGCTCTGAGTCCACGGGTTTCCCACTGCTCTTCTGAGACTGGGAGCGAGCGCGGAGCCCACAGGAGCCCCCGCATCCCTGCTTCTCCTGTTGGAGGCGGAGCGCAGCGTCCTCTCCCAAGCAGCAGCCGCGGCCCTCAATTGGAATTCTGTCCCCAAAAAGGGGGCCGGAAAAGGAGGAGAGAAAGGAGGGATGGAAGCAAGCAGTGAGAAGCCGCGACCAGGGTCCCAGACATCCCCAGGAAGAAGCTAAGTGTCCGCTGCTAGGAAGCTGCACCGCGGCGCCCCACCGCACTGCATCAGCGTGGCTGTGCTGACATCCCCCCATGCTTAACACGGGGCATTATGCGCCGGTTAACAGGCTCCGAGCTGCTCAGCGACTTGTTTTAAGCATTTTCTCCCTCGCTCTCGCTTTTAATCTTGTCTCTAGTGGCGTGTGTAGGGGGGAGGACTTTATTTCCATTGGCTAAGCGCTCCCTTCCCACCCACATCCCTTCCACATCACCTTGGTGTCTCCCTAAATAAAACCAGCCCTCCTTATCGCCTGGAAAAAATCAGGAGCTAGAGTTTGAATGGGTTTTATATAAACACTCACCCCTGTCAGCGTGCGGCCAGGCTCTCAGGATAAACTCCCAGTGTCTGGCCTGATGCTTGCCTGGCGATCTCTGTCTTGAACGCCAAGGTTTAAGCAGAATTCAGAGGACTGAGAACTCTTCCCTGAGATTTGATCAACCTGAAGCCAGTTGCGGAACTGCACAGGGTCCCGATGGACCTGAAGGAGAGCCCCAGCGAGGGCAGCCTGCAACCTTCCAGCATTCAGATCTTCGCCAACACATCCACTCTCCATGGCATCCGCCACATCTTCGTGTATGGGCCACTGACCATCCGGCGTGTGCTTTGGGCAGTGGCCTTCGTGGGCTCCCTGGGCCTGCTGCTGGTTGAAAGCTCTGAGAGAGTGTCCTACTACTTCTCATATCAGCATGTTACCAAGGTGGATGAGGTGGTGGCCCAGAGCCTGGTCTTCCCGGCTGTGACCCTCTGCAACCTCAATGGCTTTCGGTTCTCCAGGCTCACCACCAATGACCTGTACCATGCTGGGGAGTTACTGGCCCTGCTGGATGTCAACCTGCAGATTCCTGACCCTCATCTGGCGGACCCCACAGTCTTGGAGGCTCTGCGACAGAAGGCCAACTTCAAACACTACAAACCAAAGCAGTTCAGCATGCTGGAGTTCCTGCACCGGGTAGGCCACGACCTGAAGGATATGATGCTCTACTGTAAGTTCAAGGGGCAGGAGTGTGGACACCAAGACTTCACCACGGTGAGTACTTGGTTTTCAGTTCACGCTTGTGCTTACTCTTCGGCAGAAGTGGTGCGCTGGTGGCCTTCTGTTTGGCTTGGGGGTCTCTGCCATGCAGGAGAGAGGGCAGAGACCCAGCTGAAGACCAAAAGGGTAGCTGGTGAGAGTTGTTGGACCTGTTTGTAGAAAAGGTTACCTGCCAGATGAGTACTGTGGTCCTTTCAGATTGGAGAGCTACAGGGGGGCTTGCTGTTGGAGTGTGCTGAGTTGGCCTTTCTCCCAGTCAGAGGGAAGAGGCCTGGCTTGTCCATTGTCCAAGGTGCTTGATGTCCGAGCTGTGTGACAGGAACAGCTTGTCACTGGTGAGATGGCATCCTCTCCTCTCTTTTTCTCTCCCCTCTCCCTCTCTCCCTCTCTCTCTCTCTGTGCTCGGAAGTGGCATCAGGCTCTGCATCCTGTGGGCTGGGCTGGAGCTAAAGCTGTCACAGGAGGGGGTGTGGGGCCCCAGACAGCCTGAAAGGCTTCTGTGGCTGTGGGAACTCACTGAGCAGGTGATGCTGCAGAGGTGTGGAAGGCTCTTTCCTTCCTTTTCTTGCCTGAATTGTGTGGGGAGGAGAGGACCCCAGAGGCTTCATCTGGTCTTCCTGCAGGCAGGATGAAGCCTGAAGCCGTGAGCTGTCCATGGTGCATGGACAGAGAAGAGAGTGAGGACAGAGGTTTCTGTAGATGCAGTGAGGAGGTCCCGGAGGCTGGCTTGTCTGGGAGCTTTAGCTTGAAACTCGAAGGCTCGCTTTCTCTGTGTACAATTGCTTCACAACGTGGGTCCAGGAGGAGGGTGTGGGGAGGGGGGCGAGCAGCTGTGGGATTGGAAAGCCTGGAGGGGAGTGTGGCGCTGAGTAAAGAGGAGGGGATGTGGCTCACGTTCTGGAAGGGTTTGCCAGAGGGGGCTGAGAGGGAAAGATGGGAGCGGATCTGCTGCCGCTAGGGTTCTCAGCCCAATTAGTGGACTGCTAGGCGTAACTTGGTGTAACAGGTCAGACAGTAGCTGCCATCTCTTCCACACTGCCAGACAAGTCTGGGGTATCAGGAACTGTGGGATCCTCCTGTAGCCCAGTGTGTCTGCTTTCCCCACAGCTTCCTGGGGCAAGGGAGGGAGAGCTTCAGGGACCCAGAGTCTTGATTCAAAAATGCAGTGACAAGTTGGGGGTGGCAGGCTCAGCAGTCATCCAGGGAACTGGACTGTGTCGTCAGCACTTGTCTGAGGTGCTCTGCCTCATTAAGACATTCCTCCCTTTCCCGTAGTGCAGCCCTTCCCACCCCCTCTCAGAGCCACCTGCCTCTTGCTCTGAGGTTCTCTTTATGTTCTAGCCCGTCTCTGGCTTCAGCCTCTGCACTTACTGTTGGCTGTCTCTCATTCTGAAAGAGCCCAGAGTGCCAGGGGCATTGCCTCTCACAGCCTGTGTGCTGGAGCTGTTTCCTGGGGGAGCCGTTTTGTATTATTATCCCTTTGAAACATTCCAAGGAAGAGCACAGCCAAACTGACAGCAGCATTTGCTAAAGATGAAGCCAGTCTGAGCTGGAGAAGGAAGTGGGCAGCTCTTCTTAAAGGAGCAAACAGGATCCTAAAATATGTCATGCACAAATGATGTCTGAGGGGCCTTTGGGAGGGATGGGGAAAATGCCTCGTTCTTGGAGGCTGAAACCATCCCTGTCTCCCTGCCCGTGCTTTCAAGTGCCTGGCAACGCTCAGCCTCACTGCTGTACAGTGAAGCTTGAATGTGCATTCAGCTCTTCCTCTGTCTGCCTGCACACACATGGAACCCACAGACAACAGATGCCGGGTGCCTCCGGGTGGCCGTCCTGGGCAGTAAACCCCAGGACAAGTCTTTAAGCACCCTCAAAAAGCATTCTCATGATGGCATTGCCAACTGGAAGCTAAGCTCATGCCCCAGTTCTGTTTACAAGCAGAGTCTTGTTGATTTCAGTCTGCGTGCTTGTATTTGGCCCATCATCTAAATTGCTGGTATCCCAAGCCACCTAAAGTCAGGTCATAAATCCTTACCTGATCTTCTGACCCTCTGAAACACTGAAGTTGCCTGCAGACAAGGTTGACTCTTTGATTAGTAGCATACGGCATCTCTGTCAATCTCATCTGTTTGAATGCCCATCATTTGATTGGCCCCTCTGTGTGTAACAACTCCAAGCACTGAAGAGAGGGAGCCTCTTGGTGTTCTCTTCTGTCTGCTCATGAATGTCAGGATGGCACCCACTCTAGGTGTGTGATAGGAAGCTGGTCTTCACCAATGGGTGACAGTGGACACCCTTAACCAGTCCCTGTTGCAGGGCAATGCAATAGGGAATATGTCCAAGCCCCCATATTGAGGAGCAAATCTGTGACACACCTTTGTTTTCTTTGGGACTTGGGTGTAGGCAAGCTTTCCTTGGGCTCCCACATCAGCGGTGAGCCTATGTTGCTGTTGGAGAAGCCTATTTCCCAGCGCCCTTTCTCATTCTGGGGTGGCCATCCCTCTCCAGTGGGCTTTCTTACAAGCTCTGCTGGGGGTTGTGACACACCGGGTGCCTTCTTTCTCTAAGCATCGTGGCTGACTTATGAGACAATTTAAGTGTTGGGGACGCTCTTTTTCTGAATTTGGTTTTTCTATAAAGCCCAGAGCATCATCTCCAGGGCGAATGCTGTAGCACAAGCTCCCTTATTCCAAGTTCTTAGCTGGTGTGCAATGAAGTGTGTAATACCCTTTAATTAGTGAATGAGCTGTGATTCTAGCAGAGTGAAAGAAGGTTGTTCATGGAGACTAAAAGTCCCCGGGAAGCCAGGTGTGGAATGCTGAGTGCCGAGTAAGCAGGCGTGTTCCCTGCCTATGCAGATACTTACACCCTGAGCCGTCTCCCTCCAACAGTCTGGCTTCACACAGCTCTGTGGTTATTCTTCCCTGTAAACTGTAACAAAGATTTGATTCTGGGCCTTCTACTCACAGGAGGTGACCCCAGTGACCCAGCGTAGAAAGGGGATGAGATGGGAGTTGATGAAGGTTGTGACTCTGTGATCTGAGTTCAAGGACAATGTAGTAGGCATGGGTTTATTGCCCTGCACCGCCCTTATTTCTTTGTTCCCTTGCATGCTTTCTAGTTGGGCACTCATTCCCCTAACCTTGACCTTCTGACCCACAGTATTGTTGGAGGAAAAAGCATATGTGACACTCTGTGAGGAAGTCTTCTATGTTTTTGCCAGCTGTGTAGCTATGCACTGGGGTTCTTAGCAGTATTTGTAACGGGTTTTTTGTTGTCTCACCTGCCTCTACCGTTTTCAGGCATCAGATTGATGAGGAATGCTGCAAAGATGAGGGCAGGGAGGTGGAAGGGCCTCTGCTTTCTCTGGTGAAAACTTATCCTCCAGAGAGAGCTGCTTCAAGGGGAGGAGGTCCTGTCAGAGTCAGGAGCTGACTATTGCTGCTGGGTGAATTCCATCATTTTCGATTAGCACGTGACAGGGCCTTATGTTGTCCCTTTGCTTAGTAACATTGTGATTCACCTGCATTCAGGTCTAGGAATGAGAATGACCACTCCATTTTCACACCTAACCCGTCCACTATTGGGGGTATTATTTTTTTAATGTGAAGTATCTCAGGAAATTCTTGGTTTTCCTTCTTCCTCCACTGAATGGATCTTACTACCCTACAAACTACCCGACAACATAAAACATTATAGAGATGGTAGAGGTGGAGGCTGAGGAAGGTTGTATCTTTGGGGTTCTTTGACAAGGCCACATAGGGCTCTAGCTAATCTCATCTAATCACTTCTCACTACACTGGAGTCTGCTTGAGGAAGATGTGGACTTTGAGAAACAATCTGAGCTGAGATTCCAACTCTACGGGATAAAAGTGGTGGGAACTGGTATGAGTTTGCTTAGCTCCAGTTTTTCCATCTCTGAGGTAGGACCAGGAACACCCAGGACCTAGCTGGAGCTGGGGTTTACTCTGTGTGGTACACAAAGGGACTGCTAACTGAACTTGAACTCCACTTTTTCCAGTCTTCCAGCCCAGGACCATGGCAGCTTCAGAGCACAGGCACCTGCTGTGTTCTTGATGTTTCCAGGGCTCCTCATTGTGCCTGGTACCCTGAACATTGTCTCGTGTGCACTGGATTGGCCTCCGTGTTGCCTCTCACACTTCCCAGCTTGCCTCCAGGAGGCACACCCTGCTACAGCCCCTGACATGGGTGGGGTATGCTCTGAACCATGTGTATGGTAGTTTTCCTCGCTTGTGTATCATGTTTATGTCTGTATGGTTATCCCTTTGTCCGTCAAACAGGACCTATGGTGCAGCAACAATCCAAGTAGACCATGTCTGTGCTATCACAATCCATCTTTATCCCAGCCATCCCAGGGCTAGTCTCAGAACAGATTCTGCA